TTATTTATTTATTTATTTATTTATTTATTTGAGGTTTTTGCTATAGGGCGTGTGTGCTTGCCAGAAAGACAGAGAGAGACAGAAAGACAGCGAGAAATCATCCCCCAGGAGGGATAGCCACGCTGCAGTTCCTTCTCCTTCATTCTCCTCTCAGGATCTTGGGTACGCACATGCACGTGTCTGGTGTGAGTTTAAGTCACCGGGTCCAGGACTTGAACCGTGGTTGACTACATGGGAGTCCAGCAACATAGCCATTATGCTAACTGCTGGTCCCAGATTAGAAGACAGTTTAACCTACCATATAAAATCACCCTTTCAAGGGAGAAAATCAGCATCCTTGAAATTGATGAGAAAGTGGAGTACCTGCTGATTCTCCCTGAGAACCCCCTTAGGCAATTTATAGAATGTGTTACAAGAGCTTAGTTGTGTAATAACCATCCATTGGGCATTATGCAGAGATCCTGGACACCTGGAAAACTGGCACCCTCTCTGAAGGAACGTGTTAGTCAGGAGCCATCTGCTGTCCTGGTGAGAGCTCATCACTTCTTCCATGGCAGATCAATTTATGGCAGATCAATTTATAAAGTACATGCTGGTTTTTTGTTTGTTTGTTTGTTTTGTTTGTTTGTTTTTTGTTTGTTTGTTTTTGAGAGATTTTTGCTATAGGATGCATGCACTTGCTGGAGAGACAGAGACAGAGACAGAAAGTGAAAAATCACCCCCACCCCCACCCCAGGGAATGGCCACACCACAATCCCTTCTCCTCCATTCTCCTTTGGGGATTTTGGGCACACAACATATCCAGTATGTTTTAAGCTGCTGGGTCTGGGTCTCGAATATAGTTGACTATGTGCGATTCCAGCGATATAACATTATGCCATCTGCTTGTCCTGAAGTACACGCTGATTTCAATTTAATGAAGATATCAGAAGTCTCACAAATGCTCCTAAGTCAGGCTTGCTAACTTGGAATTTATGATTATTCTCTCCAGAAGTTGAGCTGACCTTTGCACTATCTATGAAAAAATAAGTTTGTTAAGCTAACAATGGAAATCAGATATAATGGGGGTTAGTAAACCACTAAAGCTTTCATGAACTCATATATGCATTTTTGCCCAAACAAAATGCTGATGACTAATCATTTTATTAATCTTGAAAGAAGATTCCTTTAAAATCTCTCCTAGGAATAACTTGGAGCTTGGTTCTGGTTATCAGGTACTGCCATGAGAATCTGGTGTTATTCAGTCTGACCCCTTACTCAGACACAAAGAATAATAATTTATGAGTGGTTTACTGATCTCTGACTAAAGGCAAATATAAAGAGTGATGTGGACAAAAAGGTGGTTTCTCCTGGGAAGGGTGTGGCTTTATTATTGCTGCCTGCAGTCACTGGTGCACTCTCAGGTCTCCGAGTGAGAATAGTAGGCTTGGATGGACATGCCTACCTGTCCTGGCTAAGTAACAGGGCTGTCAGAGTAGATACCACTGTTCCCACACAGCCATTGAGAGCCAACCACGGGTTCTGGATCAGAAGTACCACCAGAATTAGGATTCCACTGATGGGGTTGCTGACAAACACCACTTGAGATATGCCCCGCAGAATCCAGTCGATGAACTGGAGTACCACAGGTTTGTCTGGAAGAGATGAAATGAACAGAACTAAGGAAACAGCAAGGCTGATGATGCTCCTGCCCAACTCTACCCTGAGCAAGACATCTAAATCCTCAGGAGATGAAGCTTATGTTTGATATTCCTTTAAGCTTTTTCTCTTTGAATGCTTTGCCTCTTTAGTGGCACCCAGATCCCTAAAAGCATCTTGTTTCTTTATGATCAACCCACACTTCCCCTACTAGAACCTAAGCTCCAAAAAGCACGTAATGTACTTATTTATCCTCTCAGAAGTACAGACTCTTAAGTCAAAGGAATGAATTACAGTAATAAAATTTTAGATTTTATGTATTGGAATTACAGGATGAAGTCGAGTGTCCTCCTTTAATATGAGTAGAAACTAGCCACTGTCTCCACAAAATAAATTTGAAGAAGGTTGCAGATTAGAAGATAAAAAAGTAGAAAAATGGGGAATAAAGAGATAACTAGTTTGGGAATATAACTAGAGATATAAGTGGAAGTACCACCAAACTATTTGCCCTAAAATCACTTCTCCCATCTATCCAAGGGAAGAAAGCACCCATACCTTTAAGCCAGTTGGAAAATTCTCTCATATCACCAGTGACGTAGCCAAGAGCCTTGGGGATGCACCTTCTCCCCTGACGTGGTGAAACTTGGTTTTCACTCTGGTCCAATTTAACTGTAGTGGAGAGGTCCTCCATGGCTATCTCTTCCTTTGGCTCCTTGAGGAAAGGACAGAGTTCATAAATATTCTTAATGGAGAATATTTTAGAGTGAGTAGCTTTGGGCCTGATTAGAGTAGCCACAATGATTTAAAAGCATATGGACTGTGATGTCCCAAGGGACTTAAAAAGCAATGCTTCCCTCTTCAAATATCATCATGGAGGTTGTTATTCAAGTTCATGTGCCTCACTGCCTTTGTCATCAATATATCTTTTTTTTTTTTTAAGAGTGATTTTTGCTATAGGTACATATGCTCACCAGAGAGACAGAGAGACAAAAAGATGGAAAGTGAGAAATCACTTCCTAGAGGGGATAGCCACAATCCCTTCTCCTTCACTCTCTTCTTGGGGTTTTGGGTGCACATGCACATGTGCCTGGCTTGAATTTCAAGCCACTAGGTCTGGGACTCAAACTGCAGCTGGCCATGTGAAAGACCGGCGACATAACCATTATGCCATTTGCTGGTCCCTGTCATTGATATCTTTAATGCTACCAGGAGAAGGGCTATGGTCTTTAATTTCATGCTTTTTTTTTTTTTTACTTAAATAAATATTTAGTACCTATTTTCTGCACTTGAGGAGCACATTTTAGTTGAGAAGACTAAAAAATAACCCATGCCAACATAGTAAGTCAAATAATAATATGGGAAGAGCTGAAGTTAAGTGTTTCAGCTTCATGTTATCAATTAAAAGAGCAAGAAATCAAGTTACAACATAACCTGCTCACTACTGTATGCAGATCAACTACCTTTTGCCAAATGGAGCTAAATTAGCCTAAGTAGCCCTTGTACTTGGGTGATAAATTGGCCCAAAGCAGTCTCCTTAGATACTGAACTGAAACATAGCTTGATGTACAAATTATAGCCTTACCTAAGACTATACTCTGGTATCCTAGAAGCTGAACGTCAGCCAATCGGAGCAGCTGGGCTTCAGTCAATCACAGGCTGCCAACTGACCAGACCATGACACTGTAAGGCAATGCCAACTGTAGTCAATCAGGTTGGTTTTGCATGTCACTGCCTTGATTTATATGTCACTTCACTTTCTTTGGTTATAAATGGAGGCTGCACACATAGTCAGGTAGAATGTTCTGAGCCAAGTTTTGGTCAGAAATGCTGCCCATCTCTTGCTCAAATAAACTGTTTAATGGGTCTCAGAGTTCTTTTTTGACATTTCCAGGACAAGCAGTCTTTTTAAATTAAAATTTTATTTTATGGGTCAGCAGGTGGTGTGATGGTTTAGGTGCTGGGTCCCATACGGCTGACTTCATGATTCAAGTCCCAGACCTGGTAGCTTGAAAATCAAGTAGGGCGTGTGTGTGAGTGTGCCCAAAATCCCCAGAAGTAAATGGAGAAGAAGGGACTATGGAGAGGCTATCTACCCTGGGGGTTTATTTCTCACTTTCCCTCTCTTTTTGTCTCTCTCTGGTGAGTGCACATGACCCAGAGAAAAAAATCCTTAAAAAAAATATTGCACAAAACAAACAAACAAAAATAAGTTTTATTTTAAAAGTCTGAGAGAAGAGGGAACCAGCAGTTAGCGTAATGGCTATGTCGCTGGACTCCCACGTAGTTGACCGCGGTTCGCGTCCCGGACCCGGTGGCTTAAAACTCACGCCGGGCACGTGTGTGTGCGTGCCCAAGATTCCGAGAGGAGAATGGAGGAGAAGGGATTGTGGCGTGACCATCCCCCCCTGGGGGGTGATTTCTTGCTTTCTGTCTCTAATGTCTCTCTCTCTCTGTCTGGCGAGCGCATGTGCCCTATAGCGAAAATCTCTCCAAAAAAAAAAAGTCTGAGAGAAGAAAAAATTTAGAATAGTTTGTGTGGGTTGACACAGCCTAAGAAATTTCCCACCCCACATTGTCAGTTCAAGATTGCTCGAATTTATCTTTACATCATACAACTGCCCTAGGTATTTTTTATTTTTGAAATGTGTTATTGGGATCAGCAGTTACTGTAATGGCTATGTTGTTGGACTCCCACGTAGTCGACCGCGGTTCGCGTCTGGGACCTTGTGGCTTAAAACTCACTCCAGGCACATGTGCGTGCATACGCAAGATCCCAAGAGGAGAATGGAGGAGAAGGGATTGCGGTGTGGCCATCCCCCCTGGGGGGGTGATTTCTCGTTTTTTGTCTCTCTGTCTCTCTCTGTCTGTCTGGTGAGCGCACGTGCCCTATAGCAAAAACCTCTAAAAAAAGAGAAAGAAATGCATTATTAAAATGTATAAGAACAGACAAGAATGATACCCCACAAAGGTACAGAAATAAGAAAAAGTGGAAGTGTACAAAACTATTGTCCACTTACAAACCAAAAAGTTGAAATCTGAGGATTGTACTATATTTGACTGTCTAGGGCATCACTATACTAAGCATGCCTGGGAAGATATGAACACTAACCATGACTTGTCTTCACTATGGAACTATTCACTTTTCATAGAAGTATATACACACTTGAAAAACGACAAGAATATGGTAATATGGTATCTTACAGACAAAAATGAAGGTTTCATGGTGCCAAAGGTAGATACAAAAGAGTATCAATGACACAATTCCAGAGGTAGGCAGAGAGAGAAGGACAATGACCAAACTACCCTGAGTGTGCTGGAAAAAATCCTAACACAGCCAGGTCAGTGTGGAGCAGGGAAACACCAGAAAACCAGAAGACTCCAGAAGACATAACTGGAATGTTAAAGCCGTAACCCAAAAGATACAACCAAAGAAACACCCAAAGCCCGTGCAGATAAACCAGTTCTTCTTGTGGCCAGGCTGTAAGCAAAGGGTCCTCAGTGCTATATTTGGTCCCATGATTGTTCCATTTATCATGTACACCAATTGCTACTAACAGAAAATAACTCTAGTTTTGACTTTTATTAATCTCAGTATGAAAATCAATGTGGGGAACTGATTTATTACTAACGATTACACTTTAGATTGTATTATTTCATTGCTCAACTAAACATCCTGCTTTTTAAACAATGGCAAATGGTTAATCATTGCGCCAAGTCGAATCTATTTATACAGTGCACTTCAGACCAACTCATTTTGTATTAACAAAACAGTGTTTGACACCAACAGCTGAGAGACTTCCAAAGGATCTTTATGTTAAGAAATTCTTAAATTGAAAATTGCTGGAAGTTAGGAATCAAACTAAGTCCATATATAGTCCAAATGGCTCCACAGTTAAAGGTAAAAAAAAAAAAACTGAATAATTAAACATTTATGAAAATAGCCTTTTATTTCACAGTCTAAGTGATGGATGTCATTATTTTCAGGTAGTTCTCTCCTTAAAAAAATCTTATAACTGAAAATGTTGCTTGGTAAGTGCCTTCCTCAGCTACAGTGACCATTCTGAAAGTCATACCAATTTAGGAGACACATGAGGCTTCAGCCCAGGCAACAACAAAAAGCTCAAAGATACTGGCCTGGCCTTGAGTTTCTGTAACTGAATATACCAACGAGGTCCTAAAGTGGCAGCAATGGAAAACATGGAAGTGGTATTTTCCATCAATGATATAAACAAGTATATGGGCTATTTTAGAATAAACAAATTCACCTTATAATTTCCAGCATCTATTTATGTTAGAGGGTTTTAAATTCCTCATCACCTCAGATTTTGGAGATATAGATTCGAAACCTGATAATATAACTGGCCAGACGTGATTGAGAACCTGAATGACCTGAGTCCTCTCTTGAGACGCCCAATGCTAAGATTAAAGATTAAACTACTTTTATCCAAATCCACAGGTCAGTTTAGAGCAGGCTTATTGTGATTTGTGTGGCTAATATCTACATACTGGGATGGGTTGTAGGGCTATACTGTCCTAGACAGGGGAGACTTCTCAGGACTTGGGCATACCCCAGGAACCATTTGTCCTGAACTGCTAAACCATTCTGGAGCTCTAGGGAGCTCTGACCATTTTCTATAGGACTAAGTAAGGCATGAGGACTGGTTAGGAGAAATTCATAACTTAAAGTTGTAGTTCACCAAAGAATTTTAGTATGAAATCTTTGCATTTCTTCTGGGAATGTTAAGAACCCACACATCTTAAATTGGGAAAGCAAAGCAAAGCTATGGAGCGAGGACCTTACACTGATGCGCAAACACGTCAGTTCTCAGTAGGCTATTATGTTTCAACTGAGAGGACCATAAAATAAATGGAACTCTAATCAAATGGAAGAAGGACAAATGTAAAGGTCCAAGCCATTTCCCAGCTTTCGACCAACTTTTGAATCAAGAAAGAGCCAGGCGACCCTTTGGACCAAGATCCCTGTGCCTCTGGTTCAGCCCACATACTGATCAACACAGCTTGGGGACCCTCACATCCCAGGCTCTTCTCAGAAAAGACACATCCACCAGAGCTTGGAGCAGCGCCCAGGTCCCGAGAGGCAGAGGCTGCATGGAGGAAGCATACCTGTTCTTGCGGCCCATCCGCCAGGGCCAAGCTTAGCTGGGTGAAGCCTCCATGTTCTGGCTCACCAGCTTTATTTCCAAAAGGGTCCCTCCAAAAAGGACCATGACGGGCATCAGCAGCGCCACCAACCAAAGATTGTCCATTCATCCTTTTTGTCCGTCCAAGACAAAGGGCAAAGACATGTGAAGAGGCAGGACAAGTGCTGGACCCAGATGAACACATGAAAGGCAAGATGGAGGATGGCGGAGGCTTGCCTGGTGGGTTTCCGGTGGGAGAGGTGTGGCCCTCCCAGGGGGCTTGTAAAGATGAAGGCAAGGCGGACTTCCCCAGCAGCTAGGAGCTTGCAGTGGAGGAGAGACAATGAACCGACTCAAGAGATTGAATATTCATTTTACTTTACTTGGGGGTTAAAAATGGTGGTAAACTATCTCGCACAGAGCCGAAGCACAATTTCGTTCCGCGTTTCTCCACCAGCAAACGGTTGGCCGATCAGAAGCCTGTTCCGGGGGAGTATGGGAATCAAGCTCTGAAATGCTTGAGGCAAACTCTTAGGGCTCTATCTTGAGGTCCAACACCAATGCAAACAAGCTGCCATAGGCTTGTTCTTTACCAAACGCAGAAGAAGAGGGTCTAGTGTGGATTCTGTATTCTGTAATAATATACTACTTCTTATGCACATTAAAAAGCCCTGTTTAAGGCACTGCTAAATAGCATTTTTTTTCTTGTATCTAAGTAAGAATTCTTAAAATTTGAACATCACTCTAATAATAACCAATTCTTAGTTTTAGTCAACAAATAATGCAGTTTTGTGTATATATATATATATTTTTTTTTTTTTTCAAAATTAACTCCCGTTGCATCCAGAATGATCATTTTTCCTTGAGAAGTTCCAGAAGTATGTGTGGCATTTTTTCTTTCTCCCACTTTTATTCATCCCACCTTCCCTCCCCCTGTTCTTTTACTGACTTGGCTTGAAACTTGAAAACTTGCACTCTACCAAAGTGACTCAGGAAAATCCACAATTGTGGAAAGCATTTATAACATGTCTTAGGAAAAAAAACTGTGTGTTTATCCATGGTAAACTGATTAGCTATATACCAAACAGTTGTGTCTGAAGGTTGCATTATGAATATTTTTGTTTGATAAACAGTAACATTAAGAAACTCAATGGTAGGGTCGTCATAATATACAAGACTTTAAAAAAAAAGAAATAAGAAAAATATGAAAGAAAAAAGGGAAGAGAAAGATGAGCAGGGGCCATCACATTCTCTCAGTGTAGCTACCTCCACTCTCTGCCCCTCCTGGTGCCTGCCTTTCCTCCGACCTCCTAAATCACACACATCTTGGAGAACCACATCCTTGAGCTCAACATCAATATCACTAATTTTTCTTTTTAGAGTTTTTGTTTATAGAAGCCTTTGTTTTATAGAAGATGCATGAAAGAGAAGGCTGCGTGGGGAACCATCCATGCACAGCCAGTAAGTGGCAGGCAGAGTGAGCCTCCTGAGTAGGAAAGCCCTGATTGTTCTGTGTCTTCTAGTTTGGGGCCAGACATGTGAATGCCTCCCAAGATTCCATCTGAGTCAACAGATAGACAATCAGCAGCTTCTGTATGCTGGAGCCTGCAGTGTATGCTAGGGCCCATTGATGTGCCTGTCTTAGTGACTGCCTTGAAAATACCCTGGGCTGAGGGCGGAACAACAAAAAGAGGGTTCTGCCATCTGCAATTTCACCTTGCACCCTTACCGGAAGCAGTTACTCTCCACACAAACATCTTCCCGTGCCTCAAATGAGCCTCACTTTCCTGCATCACTGACACGTCTTCAGTGAGGCTTGTGCGTGTTGAAGTTAACATCCCAAGACTATTCTAGAAACTGCACCAGATGAGCTTTCCAGCAGGAGTCAGAAACCACTTTGCATAACCCGGATCACTAATGAAATGAGGTAGTGCTTCCTATTCTACTATGAGGTGTATCAAGAGTTCAACTCAACAGACATTCCCCACTTAATTATATGAAATGAAACATTCTATTGTCAGCTTATCAGAAAGTTGTACAATTGAGAGACCTGAAAATCGTCAATTTTCCATGCCTCAAGTATCACTTTTAAAATAATAGAACGTTTTCGATATAAATAAAAAAGGCATGTAAACATTCATACTGTGTTAGAATAGACTTCAGCATTGTAATTTATGTGGCACTTACTATAATCTCTTTTTAGGTAGCTTTTGGCTTTAAACGGCAGGAGGTGATCAGTTTTGGTAACAGCTGTAATCAGAAACAAAGAAAACGCTGTCAGGTATTTCTGTCTTCTCTCTAAGACACTTTCCTCCTTGGAAAGACACTATTCCTTGCAGTCTTGAGTATCACTTGCCGGGAAGAGCAGCTACAAGGAAACCACCAAATGTGTGTCTTCAGTTGTCGTCAACTAGTCCTCCCAATGATCCACAAGCACAAGCCCTTCAACATGATGGCACACGCAGAAAAGCCCATAAATCTCTAATTGGGAAGGGCCATTCCCAGCACTCTACTTTTTTGTTTTGAATCCAATAGATACTTGTGTCCAACTAAATTATTTCAAGAAAACAGCCCCAAGCCCCTGCTGGCGTCGGCACACTCAGAGTCACTTGGCTCTGTGAATGGATATCTTGCCGAAAACCACGTCAGCTCAGGTGCTGCTTCCACCTTGCTTCAGAAATCACAAACTAAGACTTTGCTTTTAAGCTTCTGGGGAGATTTCCTTTTATAAATCGCTTTCTAGTCTACCAGAACTCTGACTCTACTGCTTCCATTCAGTTCTGACAATCTGAAACACACACACACACACACACCCAGCATGAGTTTTAAAATTGTTATATTATTAAGTGGGGTCATACAATGTCTCTCCTTCATAGCCTGACTTAATGTATATCGAGTGTCTGCACTCTATGACAGAAACTGATTGACTAAAGGATATAGAAGCAGAGTAAATGGGTGTGAATAACAGCTATAGTGTGTGTGAAAGAATAGAGTCTGAGGAAGAACATTTAGAAGAAAAATGGAGAGGCAAAGCATTAATGGGACAAAGAAACGAGGTATTATGTGTTGAAGATAATTTTATAGTTTTATCAACTGGACTAGGGAGAAATGTTCATATGTTGGAATATTCACTTTGTAAGCTAAATAATGTGATTGAATGTATAAAAGAAAATGAAATAAAAATATTTAAATTTTTTATTATCATAATCTTGTTTATATTACATTGAATCACATATAACTTTATAGTGTATTATGTTTCTTTTTCCAGAATGAATACCATTCATATTAGTCAAAACAAAGACATTAAAATCCCTATCATCATCATCCAATAGCTTTTCATTTTTTCTAGATTATTATTATTCCAATTATTTTTTAAACATTCCATCACTATTTATCATTTTGCTTCTAAAAAGACTTTACCCAACATGAAATACTTCTCAGACCTGTCCAGTTGAGAATACTATATACATCATCAACAGGTAATAAACCGTATCTGAATCCCACGAATGTCATGCCTCTCTATTTGCTCTCTTGCTATCCTTCATACTCTTCTCTTCTCCCACCCTGTTCCACACTGTTTTATCATCACTAACTATTTTCACTGCTTTTATGCCCTCCAATATTTCTATCTCTACCATAAAGTGCGAATAGAATCTGACACATATTGAGACTGTTTGAAAAAGACTATCTCAAAAATTGCTTGGAAAAAAAAAGAGGGAAAAGTACAATAATTAGAGAAGGCAACCCCCAAACAGTGAACAGTTGGAAAGTAATAGAAATGAGAAGGGTACTTACACTCCAGCTGGCTTCCTAGTGGCAGAAGGAAATGGCTGATAAAGACCTCTGGGCTCTATGAAAAGGGAGAGTGTTCCAGAGGAGATAGTGCTGGGAGGGAGGGAGGCACCTAACAGTTTTTATACCCAGAGCCCTGCTCTGCATATCCGTGGACAGAGCTTTCCCCTCCCACTTCAGGCACGAATGCCAGAGCGGTGCTGGGGAACTGGTCCCCTGGCTTTGGTACCTGATGTCTCTTTTCCTCTGTTCTTGATAGAGTGCCAGCTGCTTTGCCTTGGTTTCCATGGCATTCTTAGGTCTTTGCCCACTGGAAATCCTACTCAGACTCTTCCTTCTCCACAGTTGCCCCTACCCTTGCCCTGAAATATTTTGGGAAAGATTTGTACCTGGAGAGGATCAACATAGTGTCACTTAAACTAAAAACCATGAGGCAGGTTGCTGCAGAGGGGACTCGGGACCTAAGTGGCTGCTGGTTGCTGAGATGGAATTTTCTCTTCGACTTGACACAATTTCTGCACCAGCGTTAAGAATCCAGCAAGGGCCTGCGGGGTGTAGTGGGAGGGTGGAGAGGATGAGGTGTATACAGGTGATTTCTGTAAACCAACCCCCCTTCACTCCAGTGAGAAGAGAACGACATTGCAAATATTTCCTAGAATGTTCCTCTTTGCAAATGAGAACGCTGGGACAAACTCTGATGCCATTTAAAGGGAGACAAACATTTCATAGCTGGAGATTCCAAAATTGAGTAAAAACAAACAAACACTTTTCTTTCCCATTCTTGTTAAATTTCAGTTTTGCGGCTTGCTCTGTTTTTGGCAGAAATCTAGCTCAGTCGCATCTCTGTGAGCACAGAATGAAAGAAAAAGTCCCACAGAAAGGCAGGCAGGTGTCACAGGTCTTCCTCCCAGCCGGCTTCCCACCCTCCTGGACTTGCAGATCTTCTGGCTTTCAGAGAGGCAGCCAGGGACTCTCTGGCTCCACCCTCTGGACACTTGCCAGACCGCAGGGTTCCTTTTCTGCTTAGGGGTTGGACCAGACCCTGCCCCCCTCCACACCCCCGATGTGTACTTGGGGCCTGGGAGGGAGCCCAGAGATCCAGGTTCATGATTAGAGTTTTGAGGCTTGCACACGCCTCCCTCCATCACATTTTTCCTGGTAAAGTAAGAAAAAAATAAGCTAGGGTTACCTTGAAGGAGATAAATGAAACTCAAAAGGGCAGCTGAGGGACGTGCTTTGGGAATGTGAGGAATCACACTAGTGTTTCCAAGAGTTCCTTATACAAACGAGTCACAATTCATCATAGTATTAATAGTTATAATAATAATATAAATTACCACAAACGGCCAAGCATTCGCTGTCTGTTGGCACTGTGTTAAACACTTTAGAAGCATTCAACATTTAATCATCTCCAGGACTCTATGCAGTCAATACTACTACTCCTATTTTGCATGTGAGGAAACTGAGGCTCAGAGAATTTTAATAACTTGTTCCAAGTCTAACATTAAAGTTTGTGCTTTTACCCACTCCGGTGTTCTTATTTCCAATGTCTACCCATAGTTTGCTTTTCAATAATCCATTCATTAACTTGCTTAGTGAAAGGCTGCATCTTGGGCCACAAAATACAGCCTTGCCATGCGGTTTGCACAAGGTAGTGCAAAGCTCGTGGGATTACAAGTCAGGTAAAGCTGAGTTTGAATCCTGGTTTTGTCCTGTACTAGCTTGGTGTCTTGAGGTATATTACCCTCTCCAGACTTCAGATTTCTTACCATAAAGTGGAGTAAGTTTGCTTTCTGGCACATGGTGGGGCCATCATTCTGTCTGCCTGGCTCACTCAGTATTGGTTTGCCTGGATTCATGAATGGGACCTTGTTGCTGGTTGCTGTGACTTTGGAGAGAATCCCCCACTGGAGACCAGAGAGACAACGGGGCACCCAGTACTGGGAGCATGTATGTGTTTTTAGGTGCTTTTAAATAGGCCTACTTGCACAATTCAATGGCTTTTTCGCAGTTCTTCCTCCAGTACCTCCTGGTGCCGGTATGGAGTACTCTTTTCTGGGTGTTTGTGCCCAAACTTTGTTTTCTGTGCCTCAGCTCTCCTGCTGCTCCTGTGTGTGTCCCGCTCTGTCCCCGATCTCACTGAGTTCACCTTTCATCTCCCTGACTGGCTGTATTTGCAACTGAACATACATAGAGCTTCCCTCTTCCTGAACTTTCTCTGTGGAGAAGTTCTCCTTGGAGTTTCTGCCCCTAGGAAGTTTTCTCTCCTCTCTTCTACCACTCTCTGTCCTAATCTATTTGGATTTCCCAGTGGACTCCTGGAACTGAAAGCAGTGTACAGCTGTACATGTAAAAGAAAATAAGAACTAGATGAAGAAATGGAGGTAATGGAGAACAGAAGTATAGATAATGACATGATTTTAATATTTTTATGGTGTCATCCATTTGTAGCTATACTATTATATATCCCATATGTTATATGATATACATGGTATAATATGTAACATTCATAAGTGTGCATTGTTTGACTCAGACACTATTAAACGGTATTCCATTTTTGGGGGGGAGAGGTTTTTTTTTTTTGCTATAGGGCGTGTGTGCTCACCAGAAAGACAGAGAGAGACAGAGAGATAGAAAGCAAGAAATCACCCCCCTGCCCCAGGGGGGGATAGCCACACCACAATCCCTTCTCCTCCATTCTCCTCTCAGGATCTTGGGCATGCACGCACATACACCTGGCTTGAGTTTAAGCTGCCGGGTCTGGGACTTGAACTGCAGTTGACTATATGAGAGTTCAGCGACATAGCCATTACGCTAACTGCTGGCCCCAGTATTTTGTTTTAATGCTGCTTGATCTATCTATAGGCACCTTCAGTAATTGTGATTGGGTAGCACCCATACTGGAAAAGTTCAAGAGAAGAATGTCACAGAAGGCACTTCTTCAACTTGAGTAGAACTTTTCTAAGTGGGGATAAGAGAGTGCTAGAGGAAAACGTTCCCATTCTTCTCTATCTCCCTACCCGTGACAGAGGAAGCAACTGCCAGACTGGAACAGAACGTTCCCCTGCAGTGTGTTCTGAGCCCAGACGCTTTGGTTTGGTAAACAGTTAGACAAAAAGGCATCAGATGAGAGCCAAAATTCTCCCTGACCCAGAAGGGGTCACTGCCACTTGGAGGGGCACCCATTGCAGTAGTGGAGCCAAGGGGCAAGCAAGCATGTGTGCAAATGTCTCACTCAAACTTCCATCACCAGGTCTTGCCAGGGGATTGCGGGTCATGGCAGAAAGAGAGGTATGTATGTTTTTAGCCTCTAAATGCACTCCTGCAAATAGTTCCAAATAAGGAGTGAAAGGGTCTCAGTAGTAGGGAGCACCTAAAGAGATCCCGAGACTGAGGAATCACCACCCCCGTCTACAACTTTAATCGGGTGTCCACATGTGCTACCTTTCCATCTTTTAAATGAAAATCAGACCAGTGTAATGCCATAATGCAGGTCTCTGATGTCCTCGGTCAGTGCCTGGAAGTGTGCAAGTTGTGCGCTGCACAGATGCACCGTGTTTAAGGGACCACCATTAGCACCCTAGACATTGTGTATTTATCACGGTAAAATCCCTGCAGATGGCCTTAAAATATCTTCAGAAGAGGGGCACCAAGGTACCTTTGCACAAAGGGTCATATTGGCTATCCAAGCCCTGCTAGTTCTGCTATTTCTTTAGAATTAAAAAAATAATAATTTCCCAGTGAGGAAATAGGGAGGAGGGTAGAAGGAGAATCTTTTGACTGTTTTTAGACTTGGTTGAGGAGGGGATTAAAGCATTGGGAAAAATGAGGGCTAGTGACCAGCATGGCCACATTCCCTGAGCCCTCTCCTGAGGATGACCCACAACCCATTAGATTGTTTCCTTGCTGTGAAAAAATGTGATATTGGCGTCAGGTTTAGGAAGTTAAGCTTCATTTTATGATTGTGTGAGGAAGAGAAGGTGGGATGACCTGACACCCCCATTGTATCTGTGGCCAGGGACTAGCCAAAGGTACAGGTTCCTGGCAAAGACTCAGACACTAGAGGTTGAGTGGGAGGGGCTGAGGCCCACTGCCAGCCAGGTGTCCAGGATCCAGGTCACTCACCAGGGGGTCTGGCTGGGACCAGGTGGGTATGTGAAAGTGAGGCTTCACCATGGAACCGGGGAGGTGGCAGTTGGCTTGGGCTCCCATAGTTGTCCCAACCAGAGCCTTAGCATCTGCTGGCTGCACAGTTCTGTCAGCTCTGTTGTTCAGAAGTGCCGTTGCCTTACTCATTGGCAACCAGAGCTAAAGAAGGATTCAACATCTCCTGGCTCTCACCCCTCCTCCCATTCTTCTGGCTTTTTTCCTTACTGTTGGCATCTGCCAAGGCTGGGGTGGGGGCCAAAGGCAAAAGGAACTTACGGGAAGACTATTCAACTGCTGATCCTATCAACCCGCTTGAAGCTGGACCTTACTGCTTCTTCACCGTCTAGCGTGGGTAAGTTGAGGTATTACAATTTAATTGACCACAGATTCCTATCAGAGCCTTAGCAACCCTCAGTATGATAGTGTTGATCTAAGAAGCATGGCTGTGCAGGCACACTACGACAGAGGAGCGTTCAGATGCACCACCGACACGGCATACTGCTTGCTGCTAAAGAATAACCCTGACTCCACATTTTATTCAAAACTCAAATTTACCCCATTGGAATAGTCATTATTATTTGATATAACATCTCTTTGAAAAATCAGCTAAGAATGATGGCACCTTTTTATGTGTGTGTATATATATATATATATATATATATAATTTATTGGAAAATAAAAATTCAATTTCTCATTTAAAGATAAGATATAAAAATGGTGATTGAGCTAGAAAAATGGTTCCTAATTAATTACAACCCCCTGCTTTTAAATAAAAGATGGAACTCCCAATACTGTTGTAATTCTCTCAATGGTGACTTTGTGTCCAGTAATGGAAGAAGCCAGATTAGAGTTCAGCTTCTTGGAACCTTGGTGCCTTCTCTTAACTGAGGTGTTAGCTGGAGAATTTGAAATAAAGGAAGCAATAGGATGTAGATTCCCTATTACAGAGGTAGGGTATGACCATTCTCTTTTGTGCTCCTTTGGTAGAATGGCA